AAATGATGTGATACTTACTCGTATTGCATGTTAGTGAGAGAATAATAAATATTGTTTCATTTATTTTAATTGCTGGTGAATGCATCACCAACCAAATTAAGACATCCCAGAGTTGAACTGAACCAATATGGCCAGTGTGATTAATTTGGTTTAAATCACTACTGGAGTCTTAATTCTAGGGAGAGACCTCGTAAATTCCAGCCTGGTACAAGCCAACAAGTTTGCAGTGCCAGGGTTAATGTTTATGCCTGTGTCCTGGCTCCGTACATCATCCCCAAATGAAGACCAAGTAAAAGCAGTCCAAAGAGGAGATGGGCTGCCAGAGTAGATTTCCAGCATTCTAGCAACTTGTATATACTTATTCACCTCAAATGTCTGATTGAGAAAGAGTGTCTATATCCATAAAGGGCAAATACCTGGCACACAATGGTAACATAAAATTGTCATAAAATGAGAATATTAACATAATTACCATGTAGCCAAGAAGTTCACCATTTGACGGAACCAACAACAAAGGACACACCTTCTATTTACTTAGGGAAATTGTGTGCACTATCTCAGTCTATGATTTCACCTCCCCTTCCTCTGGTAGTCCATGCCTCCAGAAAGAAAAATAAAGGTGAAACATAGGCACAAGCCAGAACAGGAGAGAAAAATCCGCACTATTATCAGGAGTCCACGTAACAAAGTTCAAATTTCAATTGTGTCGAACGTTCCAAGTTTAATCTAAACATTTTAAAATATTTGCTCAGTGTCTACATTCAAACATATCCAGAAGGCCCATCCAGTAAAAATGATTTCTTGTCCCTCAGTGAGCTTTCCAGTCTGACTCACGAACCTCATAAGCTTTGTGAAGCTCATAACAGGGAACCTTACCACATGCCATAGCTTTCTTTCTTTCTTTTGTAACTGGGAAAAAATAGTCTGTTTCCATTGCCTAACTTGTAATTTTATTCCCTATGCCAAACCAGACCTTTGGCTGTCCTTTCCTTAAATATATAAGCTTTCCTAGTATTAAAGACTTTTAAAATGTTTCCACAAGAAGAAGACTTTGCTGAAAAGTAAGAAATATGGAAAAGTGCTATTTTTAGAGACTCACTTAAATTTTGTTGGGTGATGACCCAGCTAAAATATGTGCTGGTAATATGGAGTATGAAGTCAGGAGACTTTCTGTATCAAACAAACGAGGCACCAGTAAGAATCAACTGAATAGAATCTTGGAGTAGGATTTGATTCTGTAGGATTCTGTTTGTGATAAGACTCCCATGTTAATACTTTCCAGATCAATCAAAATATTAAAGCCAAGGTTATCGGCATCCATCAAATGCAATGAGTCCCACTGGCGTCAGGGCTATGGAATTCTGGGCTTCACTTGCCCTGGGAGTTCAAAGGCTGTAGCAACAAGCTATTAGTGTATTTCCCACAGACAGGGCAGGGGAGAGAGTGATTGAATATTTAACCAGTGCCAAACATCACAATGCACCTCCTCTACTTGAGAATTGAACCTGTCGGCTCCTAAATTGTGTGCATTTTCAAGCAGTTAGCACAGTTTACTGTCTGAAAGACCATCACATCACTCCTATTCTTATAGCAAATTGCTTCATAAATAATAAGTTTAAGGATAATCTTATACTTCCAACCATAATTGGCAGACAGGGATCATGTGTTCCATGTATATTTTATCATTGACCCAAGAGGGAAGAGCAAGAGAAGGAGGAACCACTGCTCACGTTTTTGGCATCCAATAATGGCTGTTTTTTAAAAAAGTAGATGAATCTAAAAAGCTTACACTCAGTTATTGGGAGAATCTGATGTCACCCCATCAGGAGAAACTGGTTGGGTTTCTATGGTATTTCACATCCACAAGCCACAGCACTATTTCCATCAGCTGTTAATGCTGCTACTAAAATTAGGACCAGGAAATCTACAGCTTAAGCAACTTGAACGGGTTTGGAAATAAAATTTGCTCATGCTTTCTGTATAAGGCTATGGTTTTGGTAAGTATGGTATGTTGAAGGAGTTCATTGTGAGATTTATGTCTACATAATTAGCTGTAGCCAAGTTCAACGGCTAGCATGCCTGTTTGAGATTTCTCAGTTCCACTTCAGTGGATTGGAATGCCCCAACCCAGTTTGGCTCAGAGATGATATTTCCTCTGAACTGGAGTTGTAAAGAAAGCAATTTAAAATGCATAAACACAGTGCCTGAGCCATGCCGTATATCCACCGCCCAGCAGGGCATTCACACTAAGCACTGCCTCACTTCCTAACTGCTCAGCTGAAGTCCTCACTCCCTTCCCAACCTTTAATATTCATGTGAATGTGTACCAGTGGAGTCCAGGCAGAATGAAAAGCAACATATTGGAATATCATAGAGTAACTCAAAATTTCCAAGATCAAATTTGCCCCAGAATATGCTTTACAAAGTGAAGAATTCGAGATTTTAATTTTATCTTAAAATTTCGTGCAGTAAAAAAAACAACAAAAAAACCCAGAAGTAAATGTCAAGAAGCCTAAGTTTTAGCCTTGGCTTAGACACCGAATAATTGGATAATTCAACCAATATTTATGGGTGTTCACTGTGTGCTTATCATAGTAGTAGATGCCAGAATCCAAAAGAAATTCATAGTCCTTGCTCTTACAAAGTCCACAGTCTAGTGGTGGAAACCAAATGGATATTTCATCTTGGCAAGAACATTACCAGTCTATAGACTCCATCAGTAAAGTGGAAAGTTTAAAGTAGTTGATATTTTAGCTGTGATTTTAAGATTTAGTGTTAAAAAATATATCTCACAAGTCAAATGTTCTCAAAATATATCACATACCAAGCACTCTGCATTGCACTTTACACGCATGTTGCCCCTTAACTCCCATGAGAACACTCTGAGGCTGGGACTAAGGTAGAGATGGTCTAGAACTGGCCCAAGGTCACACAGCTGATCAGTGGCAAACCCAGGACTGGGACCCCAGTCTGTCTGCCTTCAGAGGCCATGTTCTTACAACTGATCTAAACCACCTCAAAATAAGAATAAACTAGACTGTTCATCAGCGATATCATTAAGATGGAAGTACAGCTTTCAAGGTAAAAAGTCACAACACATTTTCAGGATGGAACTGAGGGGTTGAGGGGATGATCAAGAGGAATTATTTCTAAATCACATCTGTTTAGAGATTAAGTACAGATATGTACTATTACATTCCATAATTTATATTTTTCTTATTAAATAATAATCAAGAGAGGAACGTGAGCTGGAATGTGGTGGTTGGGAATCATAAAACATGTTATTTGTCTGCATACATTTACTGTTGGCTGGCTGAAGTGGAAACAGTTTAACAATCCACACAGGGAGCAGCATGGTGTCCTGGAAAGAGACTGGCTCGGGAACTTGACTCCTGCCAATGACTGCATGGCATTGGGAACTCATTTCCTTGAAATGGGATTCAGTGCTACTATCTCTGAAATGAGGACAATGGATATGGTCTAGTTTTTAGCTTTTGTGACTGTTTCCAAAGGAATTAAGCTCCATGATATGGATTATTTGACTTCAGAAGTAGAAAGCCCAATATCCACTAAATATGTATATTCATTGGCCTTTGGCCTTTGTTTCCTGTTGGAAACAAACACTTTTCCTTTATCTAAACCTCACACAAACACACATACAGACCTCCTCCTCCCCTGCCTCTCCCTCTCCTACCTGCCTAATCCCTAGTCATTTCTTCAATTTAGGTTTCAATTTAGAAATCACTTAGTTAGGGAAGCTTTCACTGACTCCCTAAGTCTTAGTTAATTGTCCCCCTCCTGACCTCTATAAAAGTACTTTGTTAATTCCTCTGTCACTGAGTTGCTGTGAAGGTGAGATTAGATAACATGTGCAGTGCTTGGAACCATGCTTGGTACATAAAAATACTCAGTAATAACTAGCTGACATAATCATCACCATCATCATCAAGATTGTTAAACTAAGACATCATGTTTTCTTGGTCTCTTTGAATCTTTGTGTCATCTACTAGGTGTTAACTTTGAGAGGGCAGGGACCATAACAATGTGACTTATTGTTGCCTCACCAGGAGCTTAGCACGGTGAATGACAAGAGTAGGTAAAAATGTCTTAATTAGCTAATGTTAAATACCACACAGCAATTTACACGAGGAGACTTTCATTCATGCAACAAAGTAAGTTAAGCCTTTAAGCACTCACATTTGAGTGGAATAGACTGAAACATGCAATTTAAAATAACTTGATGTTATGAGGGCTATAATAGAGTTATGAATGAAGTTTTATGGAGACATAGAAAAAGAAGTAATTGATCTTGCCTGGGGATGAAGTAACCACTTGAGCTGAGCCTTGTAGAACCTGAACAATTTAACCCAGCAGAGATGTGAGAGAAGGGTTATTTCACACAGGAAAAAAACGGTGTAAATAAAAACCCAAGGTGGAAAACTGCATAACGTGTTTGGTCTACTGCCTGTCTTGTTAGATTCCTTGGGAGGGTGCACTGGGAGTAAGAAAGAGTTTTATTAGAGAGTAAAGAAAGACGAGAACGGGAAGATAGGTTAAGTTTAGAGTTTTAAATGTCTTAAATGTCAGGCTGTTACATGGTGATATGCAGCTTTCAAAAAGCTTTTCCTTATCTCTTAGTCACTGCCCAACACCATGCAATCTGTATCTCTTCTCTTATTGAAAAACCAGGTAAGCATTCGCCCAAGCTATTAAATTAGGATTATATTTTGACTTTCCCTTTGATATTTCCTGTTCGCCACCCTCCACCCCCACTTCTGAAGCCCTTTCAAATTCATCATGTCCGTTCTCTCTGCCGCTGACTGAGTTCAGTTCATTAAAATACTACCTACCTAATCTCCTAGTCACAATATATCCTTCACACCGCGGACAGTTACTTCTGAAACATTGAATATTGATCAGATCCATTAAGCTTCTACTCTAAGTTTTTAGTTTGATCTGCCAGAACCACCTCTTATTTTACTTTTAAAGTCATATTTTGTGTACTCGCTTTGGCAGCACATATACTAAAACCGGAATGATACGAAGAAGATTAGCATGGCTCTTGTGCCAGGATCTTGCACAAATTCGTGACGTGTTAAAATAATAACGATAATACTAATATTTTGTGAGGAGAAAGTGTTTTAGCAATGTTCCACATGCTAAAAGACTCTGAACTTTCCTTTTATACTATTCTAATTATTGAAAACTTGATCAGTGGGGTCATAATCAGTGGCTAAATTATCACAAACCTAGGGAATAAAATCAACCTGCTGTGGACAAGAGCTTAAAAGTTTAAGTGAACAATATTTTACATAACAAATATTATCACAAATATAGTGTGCTATAAAAAAAGATTTCTAGTCTCCAGGTTATAAATCAATATTCCTTCAATCTATTTACATAATCCTTTCATTATTACAGAAAGCTCTTTTCTCTTCTTAGAGAGGTGAGTTAGAAATTCACTTTCCGATAAGATCCAAAATAAATGTCAGTTGTTTCATTAGAGGTTGCAAAATTGTGATTTTCTAATTGTATCATTCCATCAACATCTACCAGTGAGAATTCTTCGTAGAAAGCTTTCCCTCGTTAGCCAGGGATATTTGGTTAGCTTCAAATTCAGTTCATAAAGGAAAAGCAGGATAAGTTTTTACTTAGTCCTCTGCTTTGAAATAACATGGTTAATGAGTTGAGTGGAGTTTTATTTTGCTGTTTCTCTCTCTCTCTTACATTATGAACTTATGGATTTTTACATAATGAATGTGTTCCAGTAAATTGTATTCATTATTCTTTTTGAAGCTCAAATTTTACCATTTTTGGCTGTTGAGATCCTCTTCAGTTTGGCTTCCATGGCCTTTTCAGCATAACTCATATTTTTTAGTAACTCGCAACTTGCACTCCGCCCCCGAAATCTCAGGTTTAGCTTGTATACCCTGCCTTAGACTTAGAAACAGTCATTGTTCAGTTGTTTTTATGGAAATACAATAAATACAGACCATAATCCAGGTAATAGACATGCTCATTGCTAATAAGTTATGATTGCTTTTCAGTGGACGAAACTAGGAAATGAGATGGTAGTTTTGTGTTTTTTTCAGTTCATACGATTCCAATTCAAATGGAATTACCAGATTTTTTTTTTTTTACTTATCTTCTTTGCTTTCATACCTATATCTCTTTTTTTCCTCTTACTCGAAAAATCTTTTATCCTAACCACATTACCAAAATCGCTTTCTTAGCCCTGATTGTCTACAAAACAGAGCCTGCGGCAGATGACTTGTTAAGGCTTTGTTGGAAGGTGCTCACCCAGACCAGGTAGTCTGAGGGTAAAAGAGAACTGAGCCTGGGAAGAACCTCAGTCATGGAGGGAACCTTCCATCAGGCTTTCAGAAACCATGGTGCCTCAGAACAGTCCTTGAGGGCAAGATAGTGCGAGGAATTTATTTTCAGGTTCCATCCTGACTCTTGGCTCATTGGTCAATGTTTGTCCCAAGAATTGTTAACGGCCCCACACTTTCACGTGTGTTGCCTGTACCTTTCCAGGAAGCCACTAAGGACGCCAAATCCTACACCCTATTAGGCTGTGTATCATCTGAGGGCACAAGTAGTGAGAGGCGCTAGAGGGTCTTTGGGTCTGGTCAGATCAGACCTGTGCATTGGAGCTGATGTGGCTCCCGCCATGGCAGAGGTGGAGAAGACGAAGTGCTCACTCAGAGGACCCAGGCAGTATGTGGAGGGGAGGCTGGGGCAGCAGCAGCTGGGGCTCTCTCTTGAACAAGCAGTCAGGGGCCAAAGAGTCCACTCCCATAGAACCCCAAATGTTTTCACATTAAAACTGAATTTAAATTTAGGCCAAATTATATAGTTTCCTTAAAAAATAAACAAGAAATAGTAATAATATTACTTATCTTATTTTTAAGGGTTATCTGCAGAAGTCCATAAATTGGGTCTTATACAATTTCTTATTAGCATTACGCTAATACATACACACTTTAAGATTAATGATATCAATAGTATTTCTAACAATTAAAATAATGAATAAAATGTAAGACTATTTTCTTAAAAATATATTCCATCAAAGATACATAGTCAAAATACTGGGTATAAAAATCAGTTACAATAAGTATTTGCTCTGTGTGTTTATGTCACCAACTTGATATACAATTGGTTAATTCATTTCAGTTTTGTTCAGTTTTTTAGGATTAACTATATGTTCTCATTTTAAGGTAATTTTATTTTTTCAGTATGAAAACTACACAGTTCCCAAGGAAAAATTACATAAGAAGATGTATTTAGAGGAGTGCTGTTCTGTAAATTAACTGCTCGCTTTATCCTGTACTCTCTTTCCCATTTTAAGTAACCATTTTTATAACATTGATTTATCCTTCCAAAATTTCTTTTGGCAATTATCCATCTATATTTATATTTCACCACCACTTTACACAAAAGGGAGCTTACTATTAAAAACTGTTTTCATCTTGATTTTTTTTCACTTAATATATCCACTCATTCCACATCAGTGTATAAAAAACTTCCTCATTGCTTTTGACATCTGCATAATATTCTCAACTTAACTCTAAAGAAGACTAAATCAGAGGTGCTATAATTCCTAATTTTTTGTTCTCACGTGCCAGTACAAGTTTAGGTACCTTGATGTGTTTCATGGCATAATTAAAGAAATACTATAGTGAGGTGGTCTATAATAGTATTTCACTGTAAATTGTACACACAGAATGTCTACAAATACTTCCTCATCTTCCCAGGTCATCTTATTAGAACATCTAATCCCTCTAATAACCTTGCAGTGAATTGAATGTTTGTGTCCCCCCAAAAGTTATCTACTGCAGCCTTAAGCCCCAAAGTGATGATATTAGAAGGTGGGACCATTGGGAGGTAATTAGGTTCAGATGAGTTCATGAGGGGAAGGTCTTTGTGATGGGATTAATATCCTTATAAGAAGAGGAAGAGCCCGAGCTCTTTCTCTCCCCACCAAATGAAGACGCAGCAGGAAGGCAGCCATCTGCAAGCCAGGAGCGGGACCTCACCAGGAATGAAATTGGCCAGCACCTTGATCTGAGATTTCCCAGCCTCCAGATATCTGGTGTTTAAATCACCCAGTCTATGATATTTTGTTATAGCATCCCAAGCTGACTATGATAAACCTTCAACACTATTCACCCAGATTGTTATTTAGCTGCCAGAGCTAAATAAAATAATTAACTTAAGAACGTCTACAGCCTTAGGAATTACGTGTATTTATTTTACATGTGTGTTTTTTTTCAGCCAAAGCCCCAACAGCTTTCTTTTACCTCACGTAGAAGACGAAAAAGAGCTGTCTTCTTTGGAACAATGCAAGGGGCAGGCACGTCTTTCGTGTAACAGCATCTCTGTCCTGAGAATTTCTGCCATGGGCCTGTTTAGCCTTCTCATACAGCCTTGGCTCTCCTAGACTTAGCCTTTTCAATTAGAGCAGAATAAAGAAAAAAATTTAGGATATGGAGTGCATTACTATATTTGACAGCACAAAGTACTATGATTATCTTTCTTTAATAAGGAAAAAAGTGACTTCCCCATAGTCTCTTAATCCTAGTTTTTTATAAATGTTATCACATCATTTACTGAACATAAATTTTTAAGCAAAGCTATATGGTTTCATTATAAGATGAATAAAAAAATATTATTGTTACTCATTCTTTTTTTTCTACATTGTCGAAATGCTGCCATACTTTATTTTGGCATGACATTGATGAACAGAAGGACTTCATGACACAGATATTTTAGAGTTGACCATAGTTTACCATTTTTTGTATAATTTTACCATTATTCGTACACTAGTCCTATTAATCTAACTTTATTACAGGATATCTCTGAACATTTAATTTGCTGAAATGTTTTCTCAATACCAAGAAGGACTATAGTGAGAATCAAAGAGAGAGTCTTTTTAATATCTGCTCATGGTTTTCCATTATCCCTTATGTGAGGAAACATCGATCTAAGCTTCTGCCTTCTCTCCATGGTCCTTCACTAGCTCTTCCCTACAGAGGAGAGAGGGATGGTATGATTTGTCAATGAGAAAATCATTGGGCCAGGTTTTCAAATGGGAAGGCTTACTGTGACTTCAGACAGGACCCTGCACTCCACAGCTGATTTACCACCCCCTGGCCTCCATGCAGGCCGGGTCAACCTCTTTGCCATCTGTTCAGGTTCTTCTGCCTGGGATTAGGTGGATACAGCCCTTGATTGGTTAGAGTAGATGACTAGATAGTAACCCCAGAAGGATTATACTATGGAGTAGAAGACTTACTGAGAGTTTTCTCCAAAGTAGACATCTTGGGCAGGTGTCAGGAACTAACCTTATATTGAAAATGAATCAGCATTTTGTATTCCATTTGACATTTTCCTTCTGTCTTTAAAACTCAGCAGAGAAAAAAGTCAGTCTATTTGGGCAGCACATGTGAGCACCAACACCTGACACTGAAAACTATAATGCCATTCTCTACTCTTTTTGTGTCCATGAAGTCATCATAGATTATCCATTAACATCTTTTTAGACACTAGAGATCCACAGACTCAAGTCAGTTAATAGCACAGGTCTAGGACCTAGATTGGCTGAATTCAGATCCCTGATCTATAGTTTACCAAGCTGTATGATCCCAAGCATCAGCTTACCTTTCTGTGCCTTGGTTACCTTGTCTGTACAATGGCAATAATAATAATTTAATATTAGTAATAAAATAATATATTGAAATATTGTATTATTATAATTATAGTCATAAATATAACTATAATGTATATAACTACATATATATTATAATTATAACTACAATAAAATATAACTATAATTATAATAATCCTAATTCTATGCAGTAAGATTTAAAGAATATGAATATATAAATATACATACATATATATCTCATACATATCATAAACGTAAAACAGTGCCTGGGTTATGAATTGCAAGTTCTGGTTTAATGTCTTTATTATGTTGTTTTTATAATCTTTATAATTTATTCCACGGTCTTGAAAGTTTAAAGACGGCAGGTGGTACTATCTCAAAAATATAATTGTAATCTTTTTTTAAAAAGCTATATTTATGTGTGTATAGAGACACAA